CACCAAACACTGAATCTCTGAGATTTTATAATATAAAAAAAAGAAGAAAGGAAATATAGAAAGATAAAAAGAAGAATTTCAACAATACAGCTCAGTTTCTGTACACGATAAAAGTGTAAAAGAACAGAAAATGTTCTGGTAGCTCACTGTCCAGACTGTCCTGTAATTATAAAAGTTTTTTTTAAAGTAGACCCACAATAATGAAAACAGACACTTCTATAGTAGATAGAGGAAATCAAGGAACTTTTCTGTCATTGAGCTGTTTATTTATTGCTTAATTCCTTTAGTGTTGTGTGAATGGCAGTGGGGTGGGAGTCTTTATCAATAGGAAAAGCTCTAAATCCTGTGAAAATACAGCTAGAAGTTCTAAATCTATACTCTCTTTCACATTTTCCAAAGCCTTCCAGTGTGCCGGATTGGAGTCTGTGATCGATTCAGGCTCCCAGGCCTTATGTTTGGCACCTCTGCATTACAGACTCACTGCATCTCCTCACTCAGCAGCACAGCTACCGTGCTGTTGATGATCAGTATCACTGCGTAACTGGAACAGAAGGATGACTTTTGGCCAAGAAGGAAGAAATGCACAGAGAAGTGCTGCCACCTGGTGCCAGAGGGGGGAAAACTTAAACTTCATGCTAAACCGGATCCTACCAGCAGGTGGCAGCACTTCAACTTCAAAGGTCAGAACATTGCAGGATAAAACCATCTGTGTCCAGCCTCTGATAAGACTCCAGAGGACTTCTGGGCCGTGCTATCAGGCAGTAAAATTAAATAACACATGTTTTACTGATGATGGATTCTTCCAGGTATCAGCTGACCCCACTGTTTCCTGTCTTTAATGAAGACATTATTATATTGGGAGGAAAATGTGACAGAAATAAGCACACAGTAAACTGCTGACCGAACATGACCTGAAGCTGTGCAGGGATCAGTAAATCTCTGAAAATATCATGTGTTCACCAGAAAGGAGTTACCCTGACTGCCGGCTGTCTGTCAGCTGTTGTTATCCCTTAACCACAGGTGTGTCACTCCTGCTCAACCTGCTGGTGTTCAACAGTTAGAGGAAACTCATAGTTTCAACTGCTGAAGCATGCTATCTGAAACACTGACAAACCCGGCACAGCACAAGGAAAAACATACCATGTTTAAAACAAGGAAGGTATTCCCCAGTCCCGAGCGTATTTTCCTCCCGTGTATGATCCCTCTATGATCATAACAATACTAATATCACCACAGGTGGTGCACAGTGTCCATTAAACAGTTTCTATCAGCTGTGACAATGCGCTTGGTTTCGTTTGCTCGCCTTGTGACTCTGTGTGGGTGTCATCGTGACACACGTGTTCCTGGTGACACCTGCTGTGGGAACTACCACAGAGGCGGCTCTACCTGTCTCTGGATAGCTTTTGTTAACATGATGGCATCTCATCTGCGAAAAATACAGAGATAAACCTTGACGTGAAAGCTGGGTGTGGCTGACCCACGGCACTGGAGGTCATTGGCTCCTCCACTAAAGGCCACGGCCTGGTTCCATGTCGTTCTTGTTGTTTATTTTTTATTCTTTTAATGCGTTTGTTATTTCCCAAATAAGTTATGTCATCATCTTATGTTTAAAAATACATTCACTGGCCACTTTGTTAGTTACATCTATTCAACTCCTCATGAACACAGATATTTAATCAGCCAATCAAATGACAGCAACTTGGATCACTTGCATCAATCCGGCGTGGTCACCATGCCAGATGGGCTGGTCTGAGTATTTTAGAAACTGCTGATCTGTGGGGACTTTCCCACACAATCATCTCTGAAGTTTACAGAGAATAGTCTGAAAAAGAGAAAATATCCAGCGAGCAGCATGTCTCTGGGTGAAAGTGCCCTGTTGAAGCCAGATTGCTTTGAGTTGATAGGAAGATGTTTCTTTGTTGGAAGGCAACAGTAATCCAAATAAGCACTTATCACAACCAGAAAATCATCTCTGAATGCACAACATCAGAAACCTTGAAGAAGACGGGCTACAGCTGCAGAAGACCAACGGGTACCACTCCTGTCAGGTGAGAACAGAAAACTGAGGCTACAGTTTGACAACAGAAGGCATGTGGATGGCAGGGTTAGAATTTGGAGTAAAAAATGTTTCCAGCATCTTGTTGAAAACCTAAAGCACAACTGTTGTACCTAATGAAGTAGTGAGTGCATGTTTGCTAGTGTAGCTGATACCGTTCATCTTGTGAGTCAGTCTGTGTGTGCACGATTATGCCACAGTGCGGTTCTGGAGAGCAGGATCTACCATAGAGGCTGTGCAGCTTGCTCTGGTACAGATTTTGTAAACACAATATTGTCACAACTGTACAAGATGATTCATTTAGAGGTAGTAATTAACATGAAAATTAAGCTTAAATTTGAGCGTGGGTGTAAGTCTGAGAACTCCAATGTATCCCACTGCAAGACGGTCCATCAATTCATGAAAACTAAGGTGAAGCAATCAGAAAGTGATTTGGTTGGGCATGTTTCTCTTTGTTGTTCAGCGCTCTGGGTTTTGAATAGATGGAGTTCGGTTTATTTCTCCGAATAGAAAAAGGATTTGGGAGGCCATCATCAGAAAACCGTAGGGGGCCGCTGCAGGAAAGAGAAGCGCACAAAGAGGTTAAAGCAATATCAAAGTTTTATTCTTAAAATGTAGTATAGAGAGGAACAGTAGTACAATTCAGACAGAAAAAAGGAGAATGTAGTTCCATCTTTGAAAACCCTTGATAAAAACGTAAAAAGAGTAACCTGAATCTGCTTTGTGTTCGGAGGGCACTGAGGCAGCGGCCCGAGTTTTGCATCACTGTTAAAGTTCGAGAGAAATTGAAAAATACAACCTTTTGCAACAGCGTAAAAAAATACAGCTGGGGAAAAAAAACCTCTGCTTTACATCTGTAGTGTTTTTGCTCTGGTTTTTTTTCTTCTTTTTTTTCTCGTGTTTTTTTGGTGTGTTTTTTTTTTTTTAATGTCCATATAACAAATACAGCATAAAATCTAAAATGATACATCATAGTTTTGAGTTTCATTCATTACAGTAAAATCAGTAGGATGGTAAATAGTATCAAAAGAACAAACAAGACAACAGGATGGTGTCATGAACAAGCACACGGCGTGAACAGAGCGCGCGACAGAAAGCGGAAGGTTAAAGTTCACGGAAATACATCGCCACAGCAGGTTTGTAGCCGACTGTTAATGTTCCATTAAGTAAATCCACTAGTTAAATAATATATTCTTCATATATATATATATTTATCTCATATATTCTCAACATATATATATATATATATAGATCCGTAATATATCCCCTCCCACAGTGATTTGAAGGTAAAAGTGACACGAAGAGTATGAATATCTCTAAAATATATCATCTTCCACTGAGTGTGAAGGGAAGTTACACATCTTCTGTATCATCAGCACTTCAGTACTATACTGTATATTCGACTGCATACGAACAGATACTGCTGTTCCAAGGTTTTAACCCGCAAACAATCCGTGTTTCTTTAGAAAGTATGTGCTTAAAGAAATAATAACAAAAAAAAGGGAGAAAGCAAAAACATCTGTGGAAAGGAGAAAAATTAAAATATGTTTCTAGGGTAAAGTGAATGATTCTGTAGCATTAAAAACATTTTTTTAAAAAAAAAAATCTCAACAATTAACAGACACGAGCAAGGATTTTTTTTCTTCTACACTAAGCAAGTATTCACCTGGCTTTTCTCATACATTATATTTCATCAATAATTACAAACAACAATTTTGGTTGGACAAATAGAAATTAACAGTCTTGATTGCATTTTGGAGTCAATATATATATATATAATATTAAATAACAAAAAAAAAAAACCTAATAATAATAATAATAAAAAAAAAGTCGCACATTGGAAGAAAACAGTTCCATTCAGACCCGCTTTTGGGGAGAAAAAACAAAACAAAACAAAACACAGAAACATAAAAAGAAAATTATTTAATGAACGCAAAAGTAAGTGCATGTCTATGAGGCGCCATAGAGCTTCACTTTTTGTGGAACAAAGTGTTTTCTACCTGGCAGACCTTAACAAAAAAAAGACATCAAATTAAACGATGACATTTCTCTATCATATGAAAAAAATGGAGTTCTTTTACACTTAAAAACATCACACACGATGATTTCTACACGCCTCCCCGACCCCCCCACCCTCACAACCAACGTTCAAGTGATTCAAAATATATAGATATACTGTATTTACTTTATACCTCAGTACCAAATATAAACAAACGGGTATGGATGTCCACTTAGGTCCTCAAAATGTCAATTGCAAGTACTGCCGGTAGTTCTACAAAAACATTGTACGTGTATGTGTGGATGTGTGTGCGCGTGTGTGCATTAAATAAAAATTTTTTTTTTTTTTAAAAATAAGCTTAAAAACAATGGCAAAGCATACCTGATAGTCGCTGTAGCACAACAGTGTTTCTATAGTTTAAGCTGATTACATATGCATAACTGAGTCAGTTTAAGCTTTATGATTATAAACATCATATATAGCCTGTAGGTCCAGTATTCTGCAACAAGCATTACAGCACCAAACGTTTCGTCATTTGGCAAAATTCAAGCTTTAAGTGAAATTCAAATGCTTTTGTATTATAATAATAATAATAATAATAATAAAGTGTTACTGTGACGCCGTGATTTGTGTAAAGCTAGCAATAACATTTCCCCTTGTACTTTCTTTTTGTTTTTTTTAAATCATCTTCCCCCACCCTGCCCGCTTAACAACAAACCTAACATCGTCTTTCTCTCACTCATCTTTTTTTTGCTCTTTTTTTGTTTAAATTCAGTAGTTTTTGTTTCCTGCTTAATCTTGGTGTGCGGTCTGTTTGGCACAATATCACAGCCCTCTTAAATTAATCATAAATATGGCTGTAATACATTAGAGTCGCAAAACAGATTTTTTGGTTCCAAGATTTTGTGCAGGGAAGGAAAAAAACAAACAAACAAACATAAAACACAGAAAAGAATAATATTTAGCGCATCTAAGAAAAGAAAAAAAAAAATCTACAGAGCAAGGTAAAATCTTCCTGTGGACAGTAATGCTCTTCTTCTGTGTACTTCTACAACGCACACTCAGACGCAGCAGAGAGCGACGGCTTACTACGGCTCTGCTCGCAGACAAAGAAAGAAACAATAGAACAAAACAAATTATAGAATCTGATAAGACCATAAAGACCTCTCTTCATAAATTAAATAATTAACATTTCTTTGTTTAGATGATTGGCCTAACTCAACTCAAAAACTACTTCACCCTACCAGACTCCCGCCAGCCCGTCCCGAAAACAAAAAACAAAACAGGAAATAAAATACATCACCAAAGACCTGATTCATCACGTTATTCGTCATTAAATCGTTCTCTTGTGGGCGCTGGGCCCAGAGTTGGACACATTTGAGCAATAATAAAATCTGTACATCTTGGAGTTCCCGCAAAGCTTTTCTTTAAAAAAAAAAAAAAAAAAAAATCAAACTCTTTGTCATATACTCGCACAATTAAGTAACCTCAAGGTTTGATAGCACTTTGGAGTTGATTGTTTACCAGCTAGATTTCTGTATACATATATATTAAACATCAACTGTTATTCATTTTTGTTTCTCAAGCTTGTTAAAAATGTATTTATTTTTTTTTTAGTCCTCTTCCGGGGCAGCACCAGCGTTGCCCTCGCCCCAATTTGATTGGTCGTTCTCAGCAGGTTCCTCGCCCTCCACTTCTTCCCCTTCCTCCCCGTCAAAGTCTTCGTCCCGAGGAAACTCGATGCCCTCCAGGCCCTCCTGAGTGGCCTGGTGCGAGTCGGCGCAGTCTGCACACACGCCGTAGCGCCGCGAGCCGTGGCGGATACCCACGCTTGCTGCGAGCATGAAGATCTTCTTGCATACCATGCACTTGTATTTTTTGTCCTTCTTGTGAACCTAGAAGGTAGACAGGGTCGATGACATGGAGTAATTCCAGTTAGTTGTTGTGTAAACGATGCGTTCACTGGTAAATCTAATGTGGACTTATGCTACTTTTCTTTAGTTTTAGTCACAATACAAGTATATTAAACATGAGCAAAGTTAACGTTCTCCTTGAGATCACCGTTGTTGCTAGAAGATAACCAAGGTTTCCCATAGGTCACAAGTGCAACATTCGCCTTCGAAGTAAAAGTCGTGGCTTACCACAAAAGTTTCAAAACTTTTACTTTGAAGGTGAATGGTCTCCGTTTCTGGTTTGAGCTGCACTTTTCATGACTCAGTGTCTTTGATGGAGACTAGGCAACTGCAGGAATCTGCCAGCTTGCTGCTAGCTGGACTAAAGCTAGCGCAAGGAGGTTTTCGGTGCAGTGGCATACATCTCAAGCAACCACTTGCCAACTGGTTGGGGAAACATTTTTCTCGGCCAGGAGGGCACTGACCCATCTTTAGGCCTTTGGGACTGGTGCCTTAGTGGCTTCATTACACTTGCCACATTGGTCATGTTGTTCAGTGACGCCACTACAGCTCTGCGCTGTTTACAAAATCCTCCACATCAGCGCTTGTAGAGGAGGGAAAAAAAAAAAGTGTCAAAACTGGAAGCAAAGACTTTACTGCAACATCTCCCTCTGTGTAACCTGCTACTCTGAGCTTCTGTACTGAGGATCATTAAAATGGTAGTAAAAACTGACACGATTGTAAACTTGTGTCTGATCAGCACCGGCCACATCAAAAACACTGAGGTTGTGAAAATGAGGTGAGACGTGCACGCCTGGTGCCTCTAAACTGAGTTTCGGCCACTAATGTTCAATCACTTTTGCTGGACGTGACGACAACAATGAGGATAATGGGAACTTTGAATGGAGAAAAGCTAAAACAGCTGAGGATCTGCACCCAGGCCAAGTTAAAAAGACTGATTATTTCTGAATTATGAGTCATGCAAAGCTCTTCTATTGGAAGCTATGAATAAAATATGGAGCTGAACCATCCACGTTAAGGAAAGTAATATTCTGGTAATCTCGGAGCTGATGGGAGGCTTCAGACTAATCTAGGTTAGACATTTATACGTTTCCAGTTTCTATGCTACGCTAAGCAGAGGTAAGCAGTAGCTCAAAATCTACTGTGATTAATTGGATGTTAGCAGAATCAATATTCCCATCGGACTTGAACCAAGAAAGCAAACAGAAGTACATCCTTCAATGTCAAAGTCTTCGTCTCAGCCAGTGATTCTCAAACAGTACCCTGATGAAGGAAAAACAGACCAACACGTTTGCTGATTGTGCCATACTAGCCTTTATTTTACCAGTATTGAACTTGAATCCTTTTTTTTTTGTTGTTAATGATTGATAAAACCGGGGTGTGGGGTTTGGGCATTTATTTTCCAGCTACTAGGAGTGGCTCACCAGAATAACTGCTTTTACCACTAGTGGAACACAGAAACATTTCCCCTTCTTTTTTCACTACATGGAACTGGGATAATCTTTCTCAACTGACTAAGGAGTAAAGTAATTATGCTCCATCTTTAACGGGACGATGCCAGGACAATGATTAACTTGGCCTCCTTATCTTTAGATGCAGGAAATGAGGGACGATCCCACAATTCCATTTGTTTCGAATCACTTTGTGTTTGACCCTACAGTCCTCCCACCATTACAAAGTAAGATATGCAGCCAAAACGTTCTACTTCTGCACTCACTCCCTTTGAGCAAAAGCTACCAGACACAAAACACAAGGTGGAGGTGCACTGATGTGAGGGGGCGGCCAAAACGCTGTGGTGTTTGCCAGAAATTGGAGGGCGCACGTCACGTGGTAGCGCGAGAGGATCCAGTGCATATGCAAACTCACCAGGGAATGTCTCTTTACATGCTCACGGCGGGTGAACAGCTTGCCGCAGATGTCGCAGCTGAAAGAGCGCACACCTGAGTGGATGATCAGATGCCTCTTGAGTGTGCGACGGTGCTTGGCGATGTAGTTACAGTGGGGGCACTTGAGCTTATTGAGGGCTAGGTGTGAGGACTCGCCTGCGTAGAGAGAAAAACAGAAAACATGCAGATGCACAGGAAGGTCAGCAGGAGACAACATTTTGCTCAAGGAAAAGAAAGTTGCTTTAAACCAATAATGGTGAGATGGAGCAAGACAATTATCGTAAAAGCTGCATTTCCACCGAATGATGACAGAGGGGTGTGCCAGCAACCAACATCCTGTTTATCAAATCACTGAGTTAAAATGCATTACAAACCACAAACTGTAATGCAGACATAATTTAGGCAAAGCTACGCACACTGCTAAATGTGACAGATTCGCAATCCCTCTCTGTAGCTGCTGACTGGTCTGCAGGTTAACTTTACGACAGAGGTCACGCTATGGCGATGATACAAAGATCTACGTTAGGCATGAATGTAAAGCAGCACCATGGATCTATGGATCTACTGCTTGGCTCATGCAGTTCAGTCAGGGGAGCGGGTGGTGGGGTTTATACAATTACCAGAGCACTGCAATTGAAACGAGGAGGCAAATGTTAGTGGGCTACTAAATTAATGAGTCTCTTTATTAAATAATAAACTGAATAACGGTATGGTAAGGATAGCTACACGCTAATAACGCTCGTTAGGAGCATTAAGGCAATCTGAATAATCCATAGACACTGATCTGCCTAATGATACAGAACACACGATTAGCAAGCTAAATAAATAAAGCCTGGCTATTTTATCACTCAAGGACAAAGTCTATGTATCAGCATGTTTATTTATTTCTTTATTATTTTTATTTCAGTGTGTAAATCAATAATAATGCAGATGTCCTTGCACCCTCATTTTCTTCATTAACCCTGTGGGTATGTTTACAAGCCAGCGAGGACAGCTGGGTTTGCAAATAAATAGACGATGTATTGATTTTGAAAAGGCTCCAAACGGGCTGTCTCCACTGAGAGTGGGGTAATAGGGCTGATCCTTTTGTTTGAGCCAAGGAGCGCACAACAGAGGAGTCGTCAAGGCAGGTTGCTAAGGGGAGGAGGGGACGATGGTTGATGAGAAGCAGGTCACCTGTGTATTCACTCGGCCTGCGTGTGTTAAACACAGCACAGAAGCACCTCGGGGAAGTGCAACACGCAGTGAATTTAAGCTGCACAGATTTTGTGTAAATTCACAAACTGCCCTAAAAGTGTACATTTAAATAAATGCATTTTAAATGCAGTGATTTTTCTTTTAAGTGAAAGGTCACATTCAGTAAGGTTACATTAAAAAAAACAAAAAAAAACAATCCCTATCACACCTTTTCAGCTGATGCCACCTGACTAACCTGCCTCTAAATCATTAATCATCTATTTAAAAACAAACAAACAATCAAAGCAAAATCAAAACAGAAGATCCGTCTCAACTTTGGGAGCAATGGGAAAGAATCTAATTTAGAGTGTGCTGTGGATTCAAGTCAATAACACACAGCTCCTATATGGAATCTGGACTCTGATCTAAACTCAGTTTAGAGTCAGACGAAGTTGAAGGGATGAAATGACGGCTTCAAAATGGCTTGACAATCTTTTCCAGTTTAAAGGGAACATTTAGGAAAATGCAAAAAAGTAGTGTATACCCACTGACCTACCATTTCACACCCGCTGTATGAACTATATATACACACACACGACACACCCTGTCACTTATGACTGTAAGCAGTACTCTCCCCTCCTACATGTATGTGACGATGTCAAGTTATTTTGTATGTGTTAACCGTTCTGTCGACTATTCTGGTTCTCAAGAATATACTGAAATCAATTACAGCTTGTTGTACCGTTGACTGTTCAGTACTGTTGAGTCGGAGCACTGGCCATTTTCATATCCTTTATAAATAGACTGAAAGTAACACATAACCTTGTCTAAATTTGTCTTCCCATCTCACGCCTTGTTGAACACTACCTTTTTTTTTTAAATAATAAAAAAAAAGAAAAAAAAAAGTGCGCTCTCTGTCACAGTGATACACATACACCGTAAAAAAAAAAAAAAAAAAGCTTTGTTTATAGCTTTAATTTAGCAGCTTTATAGATATTAACCCAAAGGACCAAATTAAACACCAAACATTGTTGCTAATTTTTACAGAGAAAGAAGCTACATGAGACAGTCTTGTTTTCCATATGTCAGTCTAATTTGCTTAAACTTGCCCCAGGCTTTCCACATACTGTGGAAACTCAAGTCCCGATTCGGTAGAGGAACTTTTACCCCTTGGAAAGTGCCTGGACATCAGCTGATTTGAAATTCCAGGAACTTTTGGTGGAAAAGCACCTCACAGAGATCACAGGTCAGCTGCACCTTCTAAAACCAGTTGAACAGGAGTTCCTAAATGAACCCGGTTGTTTGTCTTCTCACTTGTTAAAAGAAAACATGTTAAATAGACTTCCCACACTCATTTGAAATAATGGGCATTGCACAAGAGTCACTAAATTTGCCTAAGCTGGTAATTTAGCAGTAGTCTAGAGTGTGGCATCTTACCATTCTCCCAGGACTCCCCTTGTTGTAAGTCTTGCATGATGCTATACTGGATCTGATTGGCCAGCTCTGGGAAAGGGGGAAGGGACAAGAGAAGGGAAAAAGACAGATGAGAGGTGGTTGAGAGCCTGGAGGGTGGGGTGGGGAGTGGGGGCGACGCACACCTCACAATGTCTTGTGTACACAACTAACCACCCCCACATGAAACAATGGAAGTTTCAGTGAACAACATAGGCAAACACAAAGACACAGGCCCCTACTGTATGTAAAGCAGTGTGTTTTCCACCAACCAGCGCAACAAGTTAAGGAGGCTCCAGCAGGAAGGGGGTTAACTGGAGGATGACAGAGTCGAGCCCTCACACGGCTCATCTTACACTCAGCTTTTGTAAGCACTAGTGTGAGCACCTGTGTGTGTGTGTGTGTGTACGTGCACGTCCGGTTCGTAAAGCATCAACGCTTAGAGCCCATTAAAGACACACCCCTTTGTGTGTGTGCGTGTGTGAGTGAGTGAGTGAGTGAGTGAGTGAGTGAGAGAGAGAGTGTCTCCATTCTCCCTGGGTCAATATTTGGAATAGTGAGGACAGCCCCAGTGCATTAGAGTGGATTAGGGAGAGAAGGGACTGCCCCTTGCGGCTTTGCACCTCGCAGGGATTGGGGGTAGGGTGAGCAGTGGTGGGTTGTTTCTATGTGTGGGTGTGTATGGGTGTGCTACAACAGAGACCAGAGTGCATGCAAATACATTTCACCTGCTCTTTGTGCCTTTGCAGCACCCACCCTTTAAACAATCCAACAGTCTTGTTTGGCCAAAGAATTTACTGGCCATGAGTAATGGCTGTGGGCTTGGTGTAGGAAGAACAGGCAGCACCAGCAGAGTAACATAACCTTGAAACACTCTTCACTTTCAATTGCTCTTATCCTATTCAACACCAACCTTCCTTCAACATCAGCCGTCTTTACAACTGAACCACTGCCAAGAATTAATTGCTGCTTTTCTGAGCTTTCACAGCTCATAATTAAATATTTGAATAGTTTGGGACGTTACCTTGAACGCTAAAAAACTGACATATTTCACTAGTCAGCCCAATTTAAAGGCCAGACTAATTATGAAAAACAGGGAAATAATTGACAGTTGTTTGCAACAACGAATAATCTAAAGCACAACAAGAAGAAGACTGATAAAAAGTTACAGTTTTTATTATCCCTTTCAAAAACTGTAACAAACAAAGGCCTCCATTTGTGCTAAAATGTTTCCATCCTTGAAGCGCGACTACACAGATCAAAATGAAGCAAAATGAAAGCCAAGAGCGTGACATCACTGTGGGAAACTGGGACAGCTAGTATTGCTCGATGACTATTCACTCAAAGAGAAATATGCAAGGCAGCTAGTGCGAGAGAGCTGTGTAGTTTAAGCCAGCAGAAGAGTTTTTGTGGTGTGTACTTGTACTAATGACGGAAATGGATCATTCTAGTATTTTCTATCCAAGTATATGTAGATTTAGAAGATCATGTGACACACAAATCAAGACTGAATTACAACAATTGAGCACAGTATTCAGTACATGGCTAATCAAGGCTAGACTGTGGGAAATGCCGTCACCAACCGACCGCTCTGACAAGAAACTTTTTGTCCATAAATGGCGCTGGACAATCGAGGTGAAAAATTGTAATGGTACGGATCTTTCAATCAGACAACAGTGTATCTAAACCAATGCAGAATATCAACCATTGTGGCTGCTGCCTGTGTCTAAAATAACTCA